GAGAGGGAGAGGGAGAGGGAGAGGGAGAGGGAGAGGGAGAGGGAGAGAGAGAGAGAGAGAGAGAGAGAGAGAATATGTGTGTCCACACACATACATGGATGTTTATGTACACCATGGATTTTAGAACTATCAAGTCTGATCCCTCTGAGCTTACAAGTCTGTGGTCTGCCATGCACGTTTCCACCTCTCAATCTGAGGTTTGAAACGTTAATAACACCAGGACTTTTCTATGTGCCCTGAACTCCATGAGAAAGTCTTCTCTGCAAAAGCTTTTGCAGATTACCTCATTTCCTTTCTAAACTCTGCTGCTTAAACCCGGGTGGACAGGTATTAGATTTGGGTTTGGTGTAGTGCACATGTCCTGATCCAAACCTGTTTGAGCCTCCACTGCAGTAAATGCATCTTCTGTGAAGGACACAAAGCAGTGGGAACAGCAGAGATTTAGTGGGATCTTTGTATTTTACTCAGGGGCAGGTTTATATAAGATTTGCTCATTTCTAACATGTGACTTATGACAGAGGAGGTTATTGTGATAAATGCATGCAGGATTTCACTAAAAAGGAAAATAATCCTTTGGGATTCAGTTGAAACTCCTGCCAAAGTATCAACCAAATAAAACCAGAAGGTTCTCCCAGCCTCCAGTTTCCTTTGTGTCCTTTCTTAGGTGTTTCTGTGTTTGGACTTTAGTGCCCCCTCACAGAGAGGAAGGAGTTGCTTTTGGAGCAAATCTTACTGAACATCGTGTGTTCTATGGAGGTGCCATGGGTGATGGTCCTCATGTCTCTCCCTGTGAGTGGGTATGAGCTGTTAGCTTGTACCTTGCAGCAGGCTCATGTTGTTGTTATAGGATTACCTTGAACATCTCTATGAAAAGAAATCATTTGTGATCTTTCTTCCAACTGAGCACCATGCTCTCTCAATCCCTCTCTCTTCTATCAAATGATAAAGTCAAACCTCCCAGACCTCAGAGGCCCATTGCTTAAGACATACAACGAAAACCACCTAGCCGTTCATTTTACTATCCTATAATTTACTGGGGTCAATTCTCTGTTCCATTGCCTCCTTAAACGTATAGTGAGAACCTACTATGTGCTGAGCTGGGTTGTATGTGCTGGCATTTTAGAGACTAGCAATGAAAGTGACCTGATGTTGGAGAACGGTATTTCTCATTTTAATGCTCACATTGTAGGTTGATAATTATCATAGGAATAATAATAATAACAGAAATAGAAAAAATTAAGATTGGTAGCTACAGAGACATAGGTAACACCACGTGCCGTGCTGAAGAGCTCACATTTGATGTCATAGCCTCTTGTTATTACCACTTCTAAGGTGGGGAAAGTAGTCTCTCTTCCATATTAGAAAGAAAAAACTGAAGTTCATAAAAGTTGAGTATTTGCCTTTGTTTACATAGCCAGTAAGGGAAGGTGTCAATTTTCCTTTCTGCATCTATCCTTTCTGACTTGCAAATGAGATCTTTCACTGCTCCAGCCAGAGTTACCTTTGTAACAGTTCCAAAAGTCCTGCAGTTAGGAAATCTGGGCAGCTCCCTTCCATGTGTTGGCTCCCAAACACAGTGTTTAGAGTGTATTTCCTAGAGGGACTTTGGAAAATGGTCCTGCCTGCTGTGCCATCAGCTTCAGCCTTCGTGTGGAGCTCAGGAGGGCTATCTTGGTCCTACCACCCCAGCCCAGTATGGATGCTGCCCTTCCTGTGCTTACCCTGGTGTTACATCTTCCTGTGGCCTTCATCTGAGCCTGGTGATGTTTCCTCCAGGACTACAGTGTGATGACCCACACCAGAGATGTCCCTGAGTGTATGCTTTTGTAGGGGAGAGAGCCTCCTGGTAGTTTTCTCCTCCCTTTCTTGGTACCCCCATGAGTTCTCTGTTGCCTGCACTAGGAGCATATGCAGCACTAGACTGAAGAAAAGAAAGAACTGACTTTCCATCAAGCCAGATATTTGAAAATTCAGCAAAAAGTAAAAGCATGGATAAAATGGCAACAGGGGAACCTCCATGCAAGCCACTTTCTTTCTCCCCTTACTTCCTCTGTTTCCTATTTCCTCCTTCTCTCCCTCTCCCTCCACTGTTCCTTCTGCCCTTCCCCTTTTTGCTTCTTCCTAGACTATTCTTGGCAGTCCTTCTTGATGGGAATATGGCAGCAAAATAGACTTGACCCCTCAGCTCACGGATTCCAAGAGCAGCACTTCCTATAAGGAAGGATTTAGTCCCCAAGAAAACATTGTACTCCAATGCTAATAACTGGAAAAACTGGGCTTTGGGTCTCTATTACACCCCCTCCTTTCCAATTGAGGCTAGAGAGGTTATCTACAGGTCAGAAAATCATTTCCCTCTTCAAAGCCGCCTTATACTGATGCTGATGTCCCTGGTGAAGTGTCAGAAAATTTTATGCCCAAGCAAAACTGGTAGAAAGCCAGAAATCTTTGGAGTTTTCCTTGGGTGCAAATATTTTATTGGGGATGGAAGAAAGTTGTTTTCCCTGATTTACAGCCTCTGCAGACATAAAATAGGATCTATATTTAGAAATGATTTTGAACCTTTGAGGTGTAGCCAGGGGTGGGTGCTTGTACCTTCCCAGCCTGGCCGCAGTGGGACTTGCCATGGCGAATGTTCACTGAGCCAG